TGTGCAAAGGTCATAACTGTCCCCATGAGTGTGCAAAGGTCATAACTGTCCCCATGAGTGTGCAAAGGTCATAACTGCCCCCATGAGTGTGCCACTTGCAGACCATTTTTCCTGCCATTGTTTCCTGTCATTCTGCAGCTTCACCTGAATTTCTGTGAGCCCCAGGACTGGCCCATGCTACCAGTTTCCCTGACTTCTGTCCCTGTTGTCCCATCTCTGAAGCTATGGAAGCACAAAGAGGACAGCAAGAACATTCTCACGAGAGTTCGAGGGCAGCTAAGAGCCCTTCCCTTTCTCTATACTACTGGGGGTCTGGAGTTTATGAGGAGGACAGACAACAGACTCAACTGTCTTTCTGTTTTGGAGGAGGAGAGGCTCTGTCTAGAGCCAGGCAGCCTTTCTCTGAGCCAGGCTTGAGCAAAGCTGCTCCCCCCAGAGCTGGGGTGAACTTTGACAATCCCTCTAGGGTACCCTGGCTCGTCCAGAACTCTTGTAGCAGAGACTGGTGGCACTAGAATCATTCTGCACTTCAGACGAGGACCTACAGGCTAGAGGGTGTAGAAGGATCCAGATACCCTCCACCTTCTTAAAGGTTCAATAAGAGGGATGAATGTGTCTCCATCGGGGGAAGGAAATGAGAAACATCGCCCGAGAACACGGAGGAATCAGGCCAGGGGAAGTTTAGTGAGTAAAAGAGCAGGGTGGACCAGTTTGCTGAGCAGCCTCCTTCCCATCCTCCTCCTCTTCCTCCTCTTCTCCTCCTCCATCATGTTGTTGGAGCTCGGAGGCAGCAGCCAGGTCCTCCTTTTCCTCGGCCAGCTCTTCAAGCTGCTGCTGTGCCAGGAGATGGCCCGCCAACTGCTCCAGGGCCTCCGGGCTCAGCCTCTGCAGACGTTCCTCGTACTCCTGCCTCAGCAGCCCCAGCACTGCCTTGGCATCCTTAGGCCCAAAATGTTTGCCTAGGACCTGGCCCAGCTGGAGCCACAGGGGCTGGGGCGGGCCGGTCTTGTCCAGCGCTGCCTCCTCCGGAGGCCGCATGATGACGTTGATGGAGGCATTGGGCCCGATGCTGTAATCCGAGAGGTGTTTGTCATCAGCCAGGAGCTGGCCCCTGAACAGCAGATGCTGCTTCTCCTCCGGCACCTGCAGGTGCTGAGAAACCAGCTTCTTCAGTGTGGCCACACTCTCTTTTCCAGATACCTTCAGGCTGCATCTTCGGCCCAGGAGCAATTTGACCGTGAGGTACATTGGGCCAGAGAGAAATCAGGAGGGATCCATGCTCTGGGAGTTGCCCTGAAGGTAAAGGGCCCTATAGGTGAGCCTGTCATGAGAGGGCCACTGCTCCTAGCAGGGCAAGGGTCCAGCCTACTTGGGCAGCCACTAGCTAATGCACAGTGATGTCACAATGTTATGGGAGGGCTCATTTCCATAGCAGAACTCTAGGGACAGCCGAGGGACATTGTAAACACACAGCATCTTCCCTTTATGAGAAAGAGGGGAGAAGAGGTGGGGCAGGGGGTGTGAAGTGACCAGGAAATAAAATGTAAAGAGAGCTGAAACAGAGAAAGAGAAACGGAAAAGGTACCACAACAACAGCATTTCTGCCGATTTTCTCAGCACAAGCCTTGGGTACTTTCTTGATGTCAGCAGGAAAGACCACAGAGCTCCAGAAATTCCTGCACCGAAAGATAGGTCAGGAGCACTAATGACATTTGTCTTATATCCATAGCCTCAACGTAATCCACACGACCTACAAGATGCTTTGATAATTCCTGCCTGTGGGAGGGGAATGTGCAGGCTCATTCCGTCCTACAGAGGCACATAGCTGTGTCTTCGTGGTGGCCTCGCCGTGCCTCCTGATCCAACATCTACTCAGTGTCTTCCGTGTGCCAGGCACTGAGCAGACTCTGGTGTGCAGAGGCACATAAGGGGTAGGATGCTTGTTCGGTATTTGAGTGTTGTATTTGGCAAGTTTCCCTGCAGTGCGTTGTTGATCTTGAGCTAAACCCTTTCCAGGTGTTGCACGCGGTAGCCTGCAAGGGTGGTACTGTCCTGGCTGAGAAGTGAGCGAGCCTAGAGAAGAGCTGATGCCCCTAATGGGTGTGCTGGCTGCTTCAGGGGCTCCCTCGGGTCTCCCTTCCCTTCCTCTTCTTCCTCCCTGCCTTTCTCCTTTCCCTTTCCTGCTACTCTGACTCCACAGAGGATGACGATGTTGACAGTCACCATGGCCTTCTTGAGCCTGCCCTTCCAGTCTCCGACCCCAACCCTGTCCCAGGGTTAGCCAACCTTCACCTGTCCTTCTGACCTTGACATCTAACAGCAGTTGAAAGAAATAACCATAAGGACCAGGACTGTCACCTCCACTCATTCTTCTCCCGCTCCTGAGCTCTCGTGCTTGGCCGATGACCCAGATTCTGGTCCTAGATGACCCAGCACTCACATGTCAGGAATTCCAGCCAATGAAGCTCTTGCTGTTTTCCCTCTTCCTGAAAAGTCCTCCAGAGTTCATCTCTCTGATGATCCCCACTGCCCCCAGTGACTGAGGCTCTTGCCTCCCTATAGCCACCGCTCTGAACTCACTGTCATCTCCTCGGACCCACTCATTCCACGGTCAAAAGAATGGTCCTAAAATTACTGTGAGTCCCCTGAGTTTAACTCATTTGCTCTTGGCAACTTTCCTGCTGGGGCACCTGAGGTCTTTATAGCCTGGTGTTTTGCTCAGCACCCCATCCTCCCCACCTCCCCACTTTTCATCCTTCACTCTAGCCACATGAACCTGTCTTTGCCCCTGCTTGTTTCGAACTCTACCAACTCATCCTGCAAACTCTGTCAGCCTTAAAAATTGCCTCCTCCATGAAGCCTTTGCTTGGGCTTGGGCAAAGGTAATCCTACATCCCTCCATGTTGCCATTCCTTCACTGGTTGGTGTACCCAGCATAAACATCTCCACCTCTCCCTCTGACTCTCAGTAGCAGGGTCTGAGTCTCTTCCATCATGATGCCTCCAGTACACCAAATTTTATCTACAGATGGTCTTGTACTTGTTGGTAGAAGAGATGCAATTTAGTCACACTGAGCCAGGCAAGGTCGTGCAGGACCTGAGTACATAGACTGGGGAAAGATATAAACTTGCCTGCAGCCTCTCCTTCACCCTGCCTCTTCCTCTAGAAAGAGGAAAATCCAAAACTACATACAAAATAAAACAGAAAGTGATATCAGGCTTTACCAAAGGCTCTTCTATAATACTTATTTAAATAGCCAGTTCCCCAGGAGAATGTGAAGTAAGTCTGAATTTGCAAGTGTACACACAGTGTGGGAGGGGCTATGGGCTCCGTGGTGGAGATGTGGGCATCTGTGCGGATGAAAAGAGAGATTGTGTTTGGTTTCTGAAGAGTCACTTAAGAATCCTCAGTTCCTCGAGAGGAGGACCCCCTGGTGGACAAACCATTGGATAGACAGGATTGAAGTTATCCTATAGGAGATACCCAAGCAGAACTAATTAACCCACAAAGGCTTTCTGGAGGGCCAGCTCTAAGTGGCCTTTTCAGGGAACAGAGGAAGGTGAGGCAGGGAAGGGAATAGCTTGCAGTCTGCCCTAGGTGCAGGGCTTCTGGAGGGAGCCAGGAGCATCCAGGATGAAGATGAAGTCAGCCATCTGCCCCTAACCTCTCCTCCGAAAACCATTTATGCAGACTTGAGCTGCCCCAGTCATGAGAAGTCTCTGGAGATGGCCACTTGAGTTGAGCTCCCCAAAATGAAGTCCATGAAAGCCCTTACACGGGCTCAGCTCTCCAAAGCTAGTAACTTTGTGTAGACAGGTATACCTATGACAGAGACTTTGGGGCCATGAGGACAGTAACAGCTGAGTTAGTGGTGTCCATACGTGCTAAGAGAAATGGTCACTACTCCCCTGGAGTCTCCACTGCCCTCCCAAAGGGGACAGAAGAAGCACCTGTCTGGATACTGGATTCCTATTTGGAGCCAGGAAATATTCTAAGTCTCTTCCCCACCGTATAGCTGCTTATCTTAATTGTTCAGCTAACGTGAGTAAATAAAATTGTGAAATCAGAGCATGCAACCAGACAACGATTGTCATAATTAGAAGGGACGATCATCTGGAGTGAGTGGGTTTGTGACTTGGGAAAGCAATGAATGTGTGCAGAGAACGTGGAACGCCATGCATTCAGATTTCCCTTAAAAACACTGCAAAAGGCATTAGCATCACTGGGGACCAGTGCAATGTCTGAGGAGGAGATGGGCAGGGTGGGAGAATACTCCAGGACAGGTCTGAGCATTCCGGTTTCTGGGCTCTTCCATCACTGCTGGGTGGGCTACTGAACCTTGGCGCAAAGAAATCATACAATTAGACCTTTCATCAACCAGCTGTCCTGGGGCCTGCCTTTAGCTGGGTGAATCCTCAGATCTCATTTTGCACCTCTAGACAACAGAAAGATGATCAGTTCCCACCATCCTTTGGAAGTTGCTATGTGAACCCACAGCATCTGAGCTACAGAGATATTAAACATAGGATTCGATTTACAGATGGAAATGGGAGTTCCTATTGTCGCTCCTGGACCAGTAAGGAAAGAACCCTCTACACCTGTAAATATGCTCACAGTGACTCCCCACATGCTGCTATCCGTACAGGTGGACGGGCAGAGCAGGCTTCTGAAGACTGGTCCAGCTCAGAGGGGAAGATGGGGTGAGTTCGTTGACACCTGAGGGGGCTGCAGTGTTGTGGGACATTGCTTTAACTAGGCAAAGATGTGTTACATTTGTTTAATGATGCAAAGATATCTTGCTTTTCCTGGTTAGGCGCCTGATTGGTCTAATTAAAAAGTTGGGTGGCCAATAGCTAGGAAGTAGAGTGATGGGCAGAGCTGGCAGGCAGAGAGAATAAACAAGAGGAGAGAGACTGAGGAAGACAGAGAAGAGAACAAGGTAGAAAGAAAGGGAGGTCCCGGGGCCAGGCAGCTGCCAGACAGAAAGACACGGAGTAGGACATACAGAATGAAAGAAAGCTAAAAAGTCCTGAGGCAAAATACAGATGAAGAGAAACAGGTTAATTTAAGTTTTAAGAGCTAGTAGACCAGGATAAGATAAGGCCAAGCATTCATAGCTAATATTGAGTCTCCTTGTCTTTATTGGGGAGCTGGTTGGTGGGCAGAAAGAAAGCCTGCTACATGCAGGGTACAGTGAATTTGCTGCTGCCTCCTCTCTGATACTGTACGAAGGCTCATCAAGCAGGTGAAAGTTATGATCTTTGTCCACCGGACCCCTCAACAAAGTGTGGTTATTGCCCTTGAATATCAGCCTGGCTTTGTCGGGAGTGCCAGGATGAGGCAGCAACTGGGAGTCAAACCAGGAAGACCTGGAAGTAGCTGGAAGCAGGAAAGAAGGGGGAAGGCATCCGAAAGTCAAAAGGGGAAACAGTTAGCAAGGAGAAACCCACAGAGTGGGCCAGAGAGCAGCACCAGGGCAGGGGACAAAGAGAGAAAAGAAGGGGAGATGCAGGGGCAGGAAGAAGAAGTTCAAGTTCATGTGAAGTACAACAAACACTCGGGCAGACTGCTCCTCTGAGAACTCCATCCTCTCTTCAAGAGTGGGAAAAAGTTCATGGGAAAGGGTTGTTAGGGAAAGTGGGATCCGTCCGGAGAGTTGTTTATCCCAGGGGCGCTGAGAGCCTACAGCCTTTGGTTCTAGGAACTCCCTGCTGCCTCCACCTCAAGGGGAGCCTTATTGCTCAGAAGCACATCTCAAGCACACTGCGTGCCCATCCTCCATAAAGCCCAGGAGAGCCCAGTGCCACAAGTCCTCAATCCTGTGACCGGGTCCATCTTCCGGCCTACCCTGTGCTGGCGTCTGTAGGAGAGGTCTTTTGAGGTTGCTCCACAGCCCACAAGCCTAACTTTAGGTAGGACAGACAGCTCTTTAGAGGACTCTCTGAGCAAGAGAAAGATGGCCGATCTTATGCGACTCCAAGAACCCAGAGGAACCAGGCGGGAGAGCACAGGAATAAGACAAGCTCTTTTGGCAATAAGCAGGCATAATGTCTATCCAGACCTCCATTCTCATGCCTGACAACCCTATCCTTGCCCCATGCTGCTGTCCCAGCATCCTGGAGAAGTCAGAAGCCTGTCCCAGTCAGCTAGAGTAGCCTAGTAGCCTGGTCCCAGAGCCAAACACAACTCCCACCGTGTGACTCTAGCTGTGGCCACTAGATGTCACTAGTGGCCTCCCTGGCCAGCTCCTTAGCAGGCATGGCCAAACTATTGTGAAGTCTGGCGTACAGGACTGAATCTCAGGTACTGAGCCTTATCCTGAAGGAACCCCACCTCTCACAGATTGCTAGCCATTCCTCTGTTCACCCCTTGTCAGTCACGCTTGGGGTATAGA